GGGGGGGGCAGAGCTCCCGAGGCACCAGGGCGCACCTGGGGGGAGCCAGGAGCTGTTTCGAGATCCTCCGAGATCAGGAGGAAAGAGTCCAGAGAGAGCCGAGGACTGGCCGGGTGAGCACAGCGCTCTCGGTGAGCTCCTTCTCCCTATCACCCTCACATCAGTCCGGAACACTGGGTCGTTCGTCTTCCCATTTTACGGGCCAGAGACTGAGGGTGACCGAAAGTGTCTTGCTGGGGGCATATTGCCTGGGTCACTCACTCCCGAGCCAGCGTGTCTCCCCTCGCTGTGGAAGGCTGAGCAAGAACCTGAACCCAGAACTCTCCTTATTTGCTGGCCCCACATGATGCCTAAGAGAGCAACCGCGAAGCAGGTCTACTCGAGTCTGTTTGGTGGGGCTAGGGTCGCCAGCTCTAGGTTGGAGATTTTGTGAGTGTACCCTGGGGAGAGCCGGTGTGTGCTTCAAAACCTGGCAACTTCTCACAGCAGCTAGAGCTGATACAAAGAAAACTTGTCCTTCAGATATGCCCCACAGAAGGCCGGAGATGTAAAATGGCCATTTACTCAGAAGTGAGCTGTACTGCACACAGCAGGACATTTCCTAGTCAATATTCACAGCACTGGAATACTATTCTGGAATGAGCACATCACGGATCCCGGAGGTCCAAGCGGACTCCCAAAGAAGGAAATCTTTAAATTAAAGGGAGCCCTACACTTCAAAGCACTCTCATTTGGAAGACACACTGATGACAGTGCGACTAAATGCACTTACAATACAGTCCAGAGCATGTATATTCAGAAAAAAGTCCTACTCTTTTGTTTAGGACTGCATCCTTAGGCTGTTAAATCAGGGCATTCGGTCAGACACCCAGATCTTTCCAATGCTGTTGCTCTGAAGTTTGTTGAAATCTGTGGGGTTTCCCAACCATGTGTTTGGGATCCAAGCAGAGGCCTTTGTGTTCCAAGTCATCAGACCTAATTAACTGAGGCTGAGAGCTTCAGAATGGACTTGCTTGGACAAACATTCTCCCTGCAAGCCATGGCTCTTTCTACTTCCCACGATTTACACGGACTGGGATTCAGAGTATTGTCTTTCCAAACAATCCCAAGAGTCTGTTGCTGCAATTTGCCTGTGTGTAAAAGGACAGTCTCAGGGGGTTCTAGTGGATGCTCTTTTGACCAGGACACAAACCAAATAGCAGTGGAAATGCATGGGCTCCTCTCCCCACCCCCACCCTGCCAACTGAGATGAAACATTTGTTTCTCCCAGGCACTTATTCTGTGCTGATGGAGAAAACACACCCACAGGCACAGCGTTGGGGGCCCTTGCTGCAGCCACATTCTTCTTTGATGCACTTGCCTGAAGCCATGGGAAAGTATCCTTTCCCTGCATGTCTGATGTTTTCTCCTGCTCCAATCCATTCTTTATGGTTAACTTGGTACTCATCAGATGCTTTGGCCTTGGTTCCCCTTCCTTCCCATCACGCTCCCAAGAAGCAGTGCCAGAACAGAAGCCAAAGGGGACTTGGCTTCTCAGGAGGTCAGCTGAGAAATTCTGTGCAATGTCTTGCTAGCACCCACCCACTGTAATGAAATATGCTGAAATAAAACTGGTCCCAATCAACGCTCCCTCTAAGCTGTGAAGTCTTGTGAGCAAAAATTCTACTTTGTGAACTACAGGAATTGAAGTTGTGAGTGAGCGACTTGGCTGCTGCATAAATTAGTTTGCTCTGGAGCCTTCCTTCCTGAGCTAAGACAAAAATGTGAGAACTGGAAGCTAAAAAATTGTGAGCTAGATCACACTAACTCAGCTTAGAGGGAACACTGGTCCCAATTATGATAACCATTAATTAATTAATTAGTACCCCATATTTCTCTCCAGTGGAGAACCCAAGTGGCTTGCATCCTTCTCCTCTTCTCCCTTTGATCCTCACAACAACCCTGTGAGGTAGGTTAGCCTGAGAGAATGTGACTGGCCCAAGGTCACCCAGCAAGCTTCCATGGTTCCCAGATACTAGTCTGATATTCTTAACCACTATACCTATACTGGTAAAATCTCTGTCTGTCTATCACATCTTTAACCAACCTATGGGGGGGGGGGGGAGAACGGCCTAACATCACTCAATGAGCAAATGGAATTATTCAGAATGGATTTTGTAACTGTACCTGAATTTTAATTATACATTATTGTTCATTTTATGTGTTTTAATTGTATATTATTTATATTAGTATTGGAACTCACTTTGTATCTACTTTCGAAACAAAATAAACTAGGTGGGATTATTTCATAATATTGAGTCATATAACTGGGAGGAGATTAACTTCTTGCTGCACTAAATGCATTGTAAATGTGATTCCACACTGACTACAGCAGTAGATTGCTGCTACACTGCTGGCACTGCTTTTAGTAGTGCAGCATTACATAGTTAAAGAAGCTTTTTTCTTTTAAAACCCCCGGAGGGGATTTTTTACTGATTTTTTAAACACTACAAAAATTGAACAGAAAAAAGGGAAAGGGAAAGCCACATATAAGGGAGAAAGTAAAGAACCCACTACTAACTAAAAACCCAAGAGAGGAGATCTCCAACTAGCTTTTTATACTTCATTCAGACTTTTCATCTTTGTACTTCTTATGAACTGTGTCAATCTTTTAACCCTTTTAACCATCCTCAGTTACATTTAACCTCCATCATCCCCTAGAACCAAAGTTCTCAAAGGCACAATTCAGAGTCCTTCAGCCTTTACTTCTTCTTCTCTCTCATCCGCAGTTTGTAGGAATTTTTCGGGGCTGATGCCCCCTGCTCAGACAAAGAGTCCTTACCAGACGAACCAGTTTCCAGCTCTCCACTGGATTTATCGTCCTCTTCTTTTTTCTCGTCCTCTGGCCTTCCCAGCTGCTCCTTTAGAAACTCTTGAGCTTTAAGAACAGAGTCAATCTTGACCTTCTTCTCCTTGATCTTGAATATTACTCCTTCTGGAAACAGCCATTTATATCCAATTTCCCCGCGTTTGCGGGCTCAGGGCGGCTTACAACAATATGGCACTCAGTGCAATAAAACACAATAAAACATGTCGTTGAGTAGCAAGTCCACCTTTACATCTGCTACTGGGGCAAGTAGCTCACTCATAAGTTCTTTAAGAGTCTCTCTTCTTTGGCACCCCCTGGAAGCGCAGGACCATATTGGCCTTATCCATTTGCACTTGCAGCATCTGATCTTCCAAAGATACAGTTTTCTTTTCCAATTTTTGCACTTTTTTCCTCACTATCTGCGTTGTCTCAGCCATTTCCTTTACTTTCTCAGCATCCTGCTTCATTACTTGAATCAAATCCATTATTTGCGTTTGTTGAGCAGTAATGCTTGTTGTCACAACTTGCAGCTGCTTTTGTTGTGCAGTAATATTCACTGTTACAACAGACATCTGTTCTTTAAAGACATTGAGCTGTTCCAGCAGAGGGCGCATGACCTCTGTCATCGCCTTCATCATTTCACTGGTCATTTCTGGCTTCGGGGACTTTAGTTTCGCTTTTAAAAGTTTCTCTTTGTCTCTGTCCCTTGTCCCCGCCATCTTTTTCTCGTTTGTTTGCTTTTGCAATAAATTTTAAAGTCTCTGAATATGCGCTTATCTGTATAGCTCGATGGGTGAGTACTTCTGGGCAATTTCGTGTTTATTCTTCCACTCCCTCCCCCTTTTGCTCAATGATTTATGGGCATGGGAGGCGTCCCTCCCACCATTCACTTCTGGCATTTCGCCGCTTCGGGTAGGGAGTGTCTTTTCGTTTAAAAATCAGTTCTCATTTGACTCACGTTCATAGTTGGTCTTCTGACCCCTCTTCATTCATCATTTCAAATGCCTGATCTCCTGTGCTTGACCCAGCTAGCTTCACTTGTACCATCAGGTCTCTCGGCTGGACGGACCACTGGAGCAAGGGGGAGCCTCGATTCTCTGGCATTCGGCCAGAGAAGAGGCTACCCCCTCAAAGCTCCTTGGCCAGGTGCCATTCCCCGGGCTCCTGGGGGGGTTTACGAGCCTGCTCACCCCCTCCATCTGCCAGAGCACGGAGACACCCCCGGGAGGTCTGGGAGGTGAGTCTGTGAGCGTGCCGCCATCAACCGGAAGTCCCGTTAAAGAAGCTTTTTGATCAGCACCCTATCAGATGCTCAAAGAGAAGATCCAGTTCACTAGGATCTCTCCTTCTAAATGCCCATTCTTGACTATGTGACAAGATAAAGAGTATATCTGTACATGTGAAATGTCGCTAAGTCATCATGCACCAGGGAGTAGGAGCACGGGTGCTTCTAAGTCAGGCGGTGCTGTATAGCAAGGAATTCCAGCAACTTTAGCTTTAGAAGCAAATGTGTTAATTTTCATTCCACTAACCATGCCAGGTGGGATCTATAGAACCCAGACTACCATGCTGCAGTCTGAAAACAGAACCTCCATCAGAAAGGTGGCAGCAGAGCTGATCATTCTTGCACGACTCACACTGTTATGTGCTGTCACATCATGTCCAACTTATGGCAACCCTATGAATTGATTACCTCCAAAACATCCCACCAGTTTGCCCAGGTATTGAGTCAATCCATCTCATGTTACTGTCCTCAACTTTTCCTGTCCTTGAGAATACAAAAGCAAACGCTTGCTCCCCACCCCCCAATCTGAGTTATCACTAACCACCCTAGCTTGGAAGAAAATCTCTTCTAACCCCACATGTGGCGATCAGTCAGACATGGAGCAAAGTCCATCCATCAAGTTCTTTCACACAGGACGGTTGTATGGGGTCTTCAAGATGTACATTTCCCCCTGTGTTGGGTTTGAACATCACCCTGTTTGTGGTGGCTCAGAGTAAATGTAACTGAATTAGTAGCTGTAGTTCCATTAGTGACAAAACTCTGCTCTTCTCTGTTTCAGGCTGAATGCAACAGCCCCATGTGGTCCAGGAGAAACAGCTCTTACGACAACATCTACTGCTCTGATCTCCACAATGGTGAGCTTTGAAGCCCTTCCTAGCATAAGGCCACATTCAAGTAGATGATTTTTGTCTGGGAGGTCCAGGAGCTGTGGGATCCTAGAGCCATTGTCCACAGACCTTTGAAAGCTCCAATTAAATTTTATTTATGAAATATTTCCTATTAAAAATGCCCAGGGTGGTACACAACAGTTGGATGTCATCTCTTTTCACTGAATGCCATTTCTTTCTTCCCAGTCTATTCCTCAGATGCGAGTACGGCTCTGTCTAGCCTGGATTGTTTGTCCAGTATAGTGGATCGAATCTCTTCCTCGGCTCAGCCTGGGCTGCCCTTACAGGACATGGCTTCCCTCTCTCCCGGTGCCAGCCCTGAGTCCCAGCCAGGCACTCCGGAGACCCCTCATCCCAGGCTCATCTATCATGTACTATGAGTTGCCTGAAACTTGAGGACGTTGTTTGGGCATGTCAAGGCACTCCTAGCAGCCACCAGCAGAGAACTCTCCACTGGAACGCAAGGTCCTTGGAAAGCCGCTACCCCACAAATATGTATATAGGGGAGAAGTCACTTTAAACTGTGTACATTTGTGAATAGTTTTATAAGGGGATTAAAATGTATTTAATCAAGCCTCCATATTTTAATATTATATGTCATAAATATATATTGGTTTTAAATCGTATCACACTAAAATCTTAGTTATAAATTTGGAAGCAATAGACCCAGAGGAAGCTCTGACATGAATTTTTTTGGGGATTCTCCACCCTCCCCATAGAATTGGTTAAATTATATTTTTATATGTGTATTTTACCTCCTAATAAAGACTGGCTATGCTGGATTGTTATCTTTACCTGCCAAAAAACAGCCCATAGCATTAACCTTGTGCCAGCCAAGGCAAGGTAATCTGTTTTGGGGTGAATATTTTGGAATACTACAGAAGGACAGGGCTTTGCCAATTGTTTTATCTTTACATTTTTACAAATGGGAGTTCCTTTTTTTTTTTTTACCTTGGGCATCCTGAGTAGTTCATGACTTCCTAATCATTACACAAAATCCTTTAGAAATTAAGTAACACCAAACAGACTCAAAGTCTGCTTTCTTATTTCCATTCAGGTTTCCTCTCAGTACGAGCTAGCCTACTGAGTATGCAAATTTAATTCTGGCTTTTATTTTTACAGTCATACTTTCAATAAATTGCCTTTACTGAACACTTCTGGACTCATGTTTCTATTGAAGGAATGCAAAACCCTGGAAGACCCGTGGTACAACTTGCAAACATGAGCAGCTCTTCAATGTGATGTAGAAATTCTTTAAAGTCAGAGGGCTCTTAATATTTCAAAGCACTTTTGATCTCTGTGGAACTCAATGCCTGGGACATAACTTAAGCTCTGATCCTGTGAAAGGCATGTACATTAAGCTTTATGGAGGTGAACAGTTCTTCAGAAACCAGCTAAACATGCCTTGGCTAAGTGTTGGATGTAGACGGGTCAGTGTGTAAAATATGTCAGCTGCAAATATCTCAATTTATATGTGAAGTGTGATTCTTTTTCACTTGGGGGTGGGGAAAAACTACTGATATTGGTGCAAAAGCTCTCAATCTCTTCCCCAGTGCTTTTCCAATTCAGGCTACAGGTTTCAAATTTTGTACCACCTGCATCTGTAATCAGTAATTTTTATAATTTTATTTAAGCACCAAGCACCTCACGAACTCTAAATTAATGCTAAAAAGGCATCAAGAATATTAGTAGAGCATATCGACTGACTCAAGAGGGTCCCAGGTTCAGTCTCTGACATCTCCATCATAATTGTTCTCAGGTAACAGATGCTGGGAAAGACCCGTCTCTCAGGATGGAGCTGCTGCCAGTCAGGAAAATGACTCTGTTTCTTATGTTCAAAGCTGTGTGCAGACACACAAAAAAAATGGCCATTCATAATTCTACACCAGGAAGGGCGGGATACAAATCGAATTAAATAAAAATAAAATAAAATTAAAAGACTAACAATTAGAAGTGTAGAATAATGCCCTGAGGTGCCAAAAACATAACTGGCTCCAAAATAGTGTGGTCCTTTCCCCATTAACATAGTATGTTGCTTCTTTAGTGGCTGTTAGAAAGCAACTCATGATCTTGCTACATACATTAGGATACAGCAGTCAAAGTTATGCTTTTAGTCCTGAAATTTAGGACTGAATAGCACTTAATACACCATTAACCACAAGTAAAGGAGTGCTGGGGTAGGGCTGGGGTTGGGGACAAAACCACCATGGTAGTGTCTTATTTCCATGGAAAGTAAATATAGGTCAAATATTGACCAAGGTGTGAGCTACTTGTGGCACATTAATTTTCATTTGGATTAATTAATATAATGAAGTATTACAGGCTATTTATTCCTCTGGGGTCCAGGTAACAAATAAAACGAAGACTGAACTTTGCATACGTACAACTTGAATCTCCTTTTTGTCCTGACTTGTTACACTTTTCTATGTAAATTAATTTTTTTACCATAGTGCCTCAAGCAAATTGAAAATATCCATTGCAAGCTATTAGACAGTATCAGTAATTTAATTTTACTATTTGTTTACAATATTTCTTTCCCTGCTCAGCTTGAAGTCCTGAGGTAGCTGAATTAGTAGTGGCCAGCAACATTTTATGACATGAATGTTTCAGTTTGGGGCTGCGATGACCTTGGCCAATGACCTTTTTCGAAGCATGCAGTGTAACACTGACAAATCACATGCTCGAAACATACACCACTTTCTGGCTAGCTGGCATTTCAAGAGTCACAGTCAAGGTCAATGCCTCTTGTGTTTTGATTGGTGCAGGGTCTGCTCTGCATTGCTTAATATCCTGAAACAGCTGTAATGTTGAATCTCAACTGGAGGCACATTTGCTACCCAGCCAAGGTAACCAAGGTGTAACGCTGCAGAAGACTCCACATAAATATTGATATGACTGGCCACTTCCCCTCTGGCACTTTTTTGCTCATTTTTTTAAACACTGGGGAGAATTCCCAGGACAAATGACAGCTGTATCTGTACAGTAGCATCATGTGCTCTCAGTTCAAGCTTGGCCATTACACCAGCAACATTCTGGGAAAGGGCAGATATTTTCCCAGGATACTCTGTGCAGTGACACCTACAATCCAGTCATGTGGGCAGTATGCATATTGTACTGGCCTCTCTCTGCATTTTGCAGACTGGCCTAGCACAGGCAGGAATCTCCATGCATCTGCACTGTGGGCATTAACTGTACACTGGGTCTCTTTGGAGCTCTCGCTGGGATCCAGTAGATCAAGAGCACATGCACAGTTAGGCTTTCCAATTATGGGTATTGGAAAGCAAGCATTCCCAGGGTAATTGCTGCAGGACATTAGGAGTGTCTTGAACCAGCAGTAGAACATCTCCTTATTGTAATAGCTTGGGGGGGGGCAGCTACCTGCCCTATTCTGCAGTTCAGGGCCACCACAGCAACAATCTGCTCAGCAGAGGTCAGGTGACTGAGGGAGCCTGTAGAGATCTACTTGGCTCAGTAAAGCTGCAAGCTTAGTTTGAAAAGTGACAAAGACTTCCAGGTAAGGCTTTTTTTAATGGTTCCTCTGTACAGGCTTTCTGTCTATTTGTCTTATTCCACTTACATCCTACAAGAATTAGGTCCAATCATCTGGCCATTCTTGCATTGTGTTTTATATGCTATTTCCAACATGGGTATTAATTAATACTATGCCTAAAAAAGAAAGATGCGAAGAAGCCCAAACAAGGAATGCTGTCCAGTTTGGTAATCTGGAAACTTGTGCCCTCACGTATCACCCTAAAATGATTGAAGCCAGAAGTTATAAGATGATGCATTTTGAACTTGTCATTCTCTGGAGCTCAAATCATTCTTCCCCTTCTCTTTCTTTTCCCTCACAACTAGTAAATAAAAAGAAAAGAATCGTGTATATGTGATGTCTTGACTTGTAGCTCAATGTTCTGAAAATATTCTCTAATTCAACAGTTGTGTGCAAATATAGCTACTATATATATTAACTCCTCTTGCTTGAAGGGTAAGTAAGTACCTGTTTAGGCAGCTCTGGGAATAATTTTAAGTTTAAGAAGCAGTATGAACAATTGCTGTTACTCTTTGGCTACTGAGGGAAATCTTCAGGACCATAAAATCTCTGTTCATTTAATTGTGGGTGCTAAAACCCAATATTCATTATTCAAGTTAGGATATGGTACATACAACTAAATCCACAGTCACTGCTCTAGAAAGAATGTTACTGCTAATGATAAGGTGGGGCATGACTATGATCAGCTAACACCTGTTCTTTTTCCCCAGTCCATATTCTAATTAATGCTTCGAGACTGAGGTGGCAAGGAGCTCATCATTTGCTCATTTTCCTGACAGTCTTAGACTCATTTACTTCCCCTAATTTAATTAGAATGTTGGAGATATCAGGCCTAAAGTATCTCCTGGGACTATTTTTCTGGTCTCAGGAGAAAAAAAACTGATTTAATTTCACAATTTGATTCCAGGAGCATGCTGACTTCTAGATACTTCTGTTTATTTGTATGAGCCTTTCCAGGTAATCATTCATTAAGTAACATACGTATGCACAATAGCTGTGTGATGCAGTTGTTGCCAGCAACCTAACGTCTTTTACACAGCTGGCACATGCTGTTCTTTCATAAGATCCCTTCTAGCAGCTAATGGAGCTGCTGCATTCTACTTGTGCTGTTTGTTTAAGTGTCACAGGCATCTATTGGCTGATGCCGATGACATCACCAGTGGCAACTGACATACTCCTCTTTTTTCTGTGGTAATGCCAATTTAGGATCGTTTATAAAGAAGCGGTATATTTAAAATGTATTTTTCTGGCTGTTTTAGAGGCTGAGTGCTCTCCACTGTACCACTCCACCGGTAATAAACATGCAGGCTTTTAGCATTAGAAACTTCCAGGGGTTTCAAGGGAAACTTCCAAGCCACTTTCAATGATGCTTCCTGCCTATATGGTACTCCTCACACAGGCCCTGCCTTTGTACCCATCAGCTGTATGATTTGATGAGGAACCAGCATATTGATTTCCTGAACATAAATGCCATGTGACTGTGTTCTCCCCTTCTTATTTCTTAACTGAGGCTGCGATCACACGCACCTTTCGATCTGACATAGGTGTGAATGCCTGATGGATCTAAAGACAGCGATAACACAGCAACATCTGGGAAGCATCCCACAGTCATCAGCAACCCATGCTGCTCTTCCATGGAAGCGGAGTTAGAAGATACCGGGGAAAGTCCAGTAGTAAATGGGTTGCTACAGGCCACGGATGGACTTTCCCCTGTCTGATAGCTCAAGCATGTTCTCATGCCGTCGGGATGGTCTGATCAGGCCATCCTGACTCTGTGCCATTGGTTCCCCCCCCCCTTTGCAGCATGCACATCATTGCATACTCCATAGGGGGCCCTCAGTGTGGAGCTACGAATCCTCGTTTATGCGCAAGGGAAACAAACAGCAAAAAAATAAAAACCTGACTCACCCGCAGTTGCATCTGATCATACAATGACCGGCTAAGCCTGCAGCTTCAAAGGGCTGTGTGATCTTGCAACTGCATGTCAAATTCCTCTGGAGGAAATAGCCTCTTTTCCCCTCCGCTTCAACTGGTACATATGACTGCCGCCTGATTGTAACACTCTAAGTCAGAGATCACCAACTTTTTCTTTAATGAGCACTACTTCAGAGTAATGGAAAGTATTCCATGCTACCCCATGCCCCTGCAGTATGTTGCTGAGTTTTATTCTATCCTAGGAACAGATTGTGGATTAGGAAGAGCACCAGAAATGAAGCTATTAGCTAAACAGCACAAAAGAAAATCTTAGGAAAT